GTATGGGTTTATACAGTCTCCTGTTTGACCTTTATCGCCCTATTGTTTATTAACTTGTCCAAATGTCCCCTTAGTTTTCTATCTGTCGCCCTTTACATTTCATTAAACATTCCTACGTCATTATTCTTTACAGGAATTTCAACGACCTCTTTCTAATTCTAAGTATAAATCTTTTATTCTTTTCTTTTCTTTAAAACTTCCTTGTTACTCACATGTTGCGTCCATGGCATTCTCAACATTCACCTAAAGCAGTGGTTATCAGCGTTTTTTTTTTTTTTACCATGGAACACTTTTATTGTTAATTTTTTTTTGTGGACCCCATAACCATTCAATGAAAAAAAAAAAAAAAAAAAAAACAAAAAACGCTTATTTTTTTTACTAATAGATACGTTTAGGAATTGTATTATAGAAATAGTTAATCTATATGCTATATTTTGAAGTAGAATTAATTTAATGAAAATAAACATGTATTTAAGAACTAAATTTTATTGAGCATTTATGTACACTCGTAAAATTACTCATACTAAAATATTTTAAAATATCTGCGTTATTAATAGATATCAAAATGTGCAGATTTATTCAAAGAGATCCCGCGGATCTGAAGAGATTGATAGTGTTAATCCTTCCTTCTTATATAAATTATATATTAAATTAATTTTCTTAATATTATTTCATTTTTTGTGATTTTATATTAATTAATTTATATTAATAAATTAATATTTAAATTAATATTATTAATATATTGAATTAAATTATATAATAAATTATAATGTTTATATAATCTTCCTTATATCTATAATCAGTCAGTTATGTGTGTTATGGTCCGGTACCTTGTACCACGGTCATAGTCCAAGGTAGAACCAATAAAGAAGAACTCGAACACGGATAAGGAATAACACAGATATATTACAAACAGGAATATATACAGAGAGGTAGAAAGTGTTAGTACGAACATTCAGGTTTAGTAGTAATTGTCTGAACGCGACTCTGTTTCGGACTGCCTGTGCCTCGACTGACTGACTTGCTCGCTCTGACTGACAGACTCCTGACGGACTTCTGACATACCTCACTCCAGACTTCAGACTGAACAGTATTTAGTCACCCACTCCACGAGGGCATCATGTGGCACAAGGCCGGTTTAACGTGGGATCTCCGAGCCCGTGGGCTCGGCCAAATATATGCCCTTTGAACCCGTATAAACGGGTTCAGGGTCTATTTACCTCCCCGAAAGAGACTCCGCCCTTCGGCGTAGCCTCGTTCGGGTTCCTCCCCGCCCGAAGGCAGAGAGTTCAACCGATCAGCCGATCAGCCGGTCGCCCGACTTCGAACTTAACTCCCTGCTTCCTCTTGAGGCGCAGTATTTATTACGTATGGAATAGACCATTATGCTATTATGGGTAAGGTCCCATAACAATGTGCCACGCGTGATACAGGGTTAGGCGATCATTTATCTTTCGATACATGACTGACGAAACAGATTTTTTCCCGCAGTAGGTTGCCATTTCATACTACGGTAGACCAGTTGCCATCCTGGGCTGCAGAACCCGCTCTGTCCTGCTATTTACCCATAGCTGCGGGGAGAAGAAGAGGAATCATACCTTTCCCAAGGGTATTAGCACGTAATGGATTCGACTGGAATTCGTACTCGGCTCTCCGATTCCTCAATCCGCACCGCTATCCATTGCCTCACCGTTACTTTCTTTATATATTCTTGTCAGTTCTTATTCAACATTTACAATCAAAACATCCAACAGAGTTAAAGAGACGCGAACTTACATTTTTCGATATCGCTTTCTGCTAGTTTTAGAGTTGTTTTTTTATTTTATTTTATTTTTAGCCTTTAAATATGGCGTAGATCACTGTAAAAATTCCAGTTCTCAGTTGTAACAACAATTCCAAAGTGAAATTACTCTATAGACATTATCTTGGACCCGCAGTTTGCTATTTTTTGTGTGAACCACTAGTAATGTCACATGGAAACCTCAGGGTCCGTATGAATCCAGGTTGTGAACCACTGGTCCGTAGATTTCATTGATTGATTTGTGACTTTACGGCTCATCTGCTCATCATTTTGTCTTTTGGAAGATAATAATGGTTCGGGGATACACGTCTTACTAATTAACTCATAACTGATGGAGCAGAGGTTAATTTGTACTTGATCTGGCCGTAAGCCCGAAGAGAAGCGAGGAAAGGACAATAAACGAACAGGTTTCAGAAGATGGCGATTAACGTTGCATTTAAATTTTTGAAGATTATAGGAAACCAGAAAGCAAGAAATCGGAGGGGAGTTCCACAAGTCAGAAGTGCGTGAAAAGTTACTGTGAGAGTAGAGGTAGCGGTTGCATCGAGGTAGTTCGACAGTAAAACGGTGAGAACTTGTTGCCAATCTAACAACACATTTAAATTCATGTAATCAAGGCAGAGCAGTTGCCATGAAAATATTTGTAGAAAAGACAGAGGGAAGCCACTTGATGTCTGTGAGAAAGTGACTAAAGTCAAG